GGCGCAGCCTTTCCTGTCCCTGCCCAGCCTCAAAAGGCCTAGAGAACACAAATACCCCGAAAGAAACGTAAAACTGATTTCAAAACAGCAGGTTGGGTTCTTCTTGTTTGTGCTAATACAGAAGAAGAAGAAAAAAAAGTATCAGGTCTTGGATCAGAAAGTATGCTTGATGCTTTTCTCATGTTTGTTGTATCTTTGAAAGGAGTTGTGTAGTACTGCAAAAGTAACCTCGGCTTTTCTGTTCCCTGTACAGCCACAGTCTAATCACAGGATGCACCTTAAGAAACAACCAGAGGAAGAGGAGGCCCACTTGTGCAGTATAAACAGCAGGGAACACTATTCCCCTTGAATGCAGGAAGCATATATATTAGACACATACATTACGTACATCTGTATCGTATTGTAATGCACATACAATACCTGTGGCTGTATCCCAAGTATTACAGTTCAGGTTTTTACCTGTATCCTGTTTCTGTGTTCTGAACTGTGTCCTAAGGGTCACGTATGACAGCCTGACTATACTTCTGTAATTAGTACCTAAAAGTTTGTTAAGCAGAGAGAAATAACCATGCTGTTTGAATAAAATCAACTGAAAGGACAGACTGTAGAATGGCTGAGAATAAAATCCAGCTCTAACAACTTCAGTCTGTGGAACTCAGACCCTTTCCCTCGGTGGAGGAAACTTGCCCAACTGGTTTACTTTCAGAAAGATAATCATAAGGGTTTGATGCTGTTTGATTTTCAATTATGTGTTTCTACTGCAGCAGTTACTCTGCCTTCTGAAACATGCTAGTGTTTAACAGCAGTAGCAGCCTACTGTACTAATTAAGGTAAACCAGGTTCTGATTTTCTTTGAAATAAAGAGTGAAAGAGCAACCTTCTGTCAGCAGCCTTCTTGAATAGCTAGCAGGTGATATGCAAAGTACCCTCCATGGATGACTTTAAGTGGACAGAGGTTTAAACTTCAGGTGCACATCAAAATTTCCTGTGTTAGATTAAGGAGTCTCTTGTATTCTCCAGTGAAGAAAAGGAAGGTAAACACATGGAGCAGGCTTTATACCTCATTAGTCTTCAGCTATGGATGAAGGAAGGGGTGCAGTTTTCTTGAGTATTTTTCCCTCGTGAATACTAGTTTCTGATTATAAAAGTAAAATTCAACTGCATTATCACCAACAGAAAAACAGGTGTTACAGTTAGCTCACTTTTTTTGTTTTTCCCTCCCCCCGTCTTTTTCCCTAACATGATTTCACCAGGGAAATCCCAAGGGAATAACCTATTAGGGAAGTACTGTTGCTCCATTTCTCTTCTGGTAAGGAAGACAGGTGTGCAAGTCTAAATATCCTTTAGAAAACTAAACTATTAGGAGATATACGGAAATTTAACTTTCTCCTTCAGCCAGATCTGGCATGCAAGGTTTTACTTAACTCAAAAAAACTTAAAGCTAATGAAGTGCAGGCTGTGTGGTGCCTTGGGCACAAGCTATTCTATATGCTCCTGAAGCCTGTGAATATATACATCAGAACAAATTTCACTTATCCATAATAAAGCATAAGGTAGCAAAACAGCTCGTGTAACTAATCAATCAGTTACCCAAGGCTGTAGGATTATGGAATTAAGATTACCCTATGCATTTCACAGATACAAAACCTACATCTGGGTCAGAGCAATCCCAGACACAGCTACAGGCTGGGCAGAGAAGAGATTCAGAGCAGCTCTGCGGGGAAGGACTAGGGGGTGCTAGTCGGTGAGAATATGAACATGAGCCGGCAGTGTGCGCTTGCAGCCCAGAAAGCCAACTGTATCCTGGGCTGCATCAAAAGGGAGTGTGACCAGCAAGTCGAAGGAGGTGATCCTGCCCCTTTATTCTGCTCTTGTGAGACCTCATCTGGAGTATTGTGTGCAGTTCTGGTGTCCTCAACATAAAAAAATACATGAAACTGTTGGAACAAGTCCAGAGGAGGGCCATGAGAATGATCAGTGGACTGGAGCACCTCCCATATGAAGATAGGCTGAGAAAGTTGGGGCTGTTCAGCCTGGAGAAGAGAAGGCTGCGTGGAGACCTCATAGCAGCCTTCCAGTATCTGAAGGGGGCCTACAGGGATTGCTGGGAATGGACTACTCATTAGGGACTGTAGTGATAGGACAAGGGGTAATGGGTTAAAACTTAAACAGGGGAAGTTGAGGTTGGATATAAGGAGGAAATTCTTTCCTGTGAGGGTGATGAGGCACTGGAACAGGTTGCCCAGGGAGGTTGTGAATGCTCCGTCCCTGGCAGTGTTCAAGGCCAGGTTGGACGAGCCCTTGGGTGATATGGTTTAGAGCGAGGTGTCCCTGCCTTGCTGCAGGGGGGTTGGAACTTGACGATCTTAAGGTCCTTTCCAACCCTAACTATTCTATGATTCTATTTAGCTTACTAAAGAAATACTTCACAAGTTGAATTTTACTGTTTGAAAAAATGTAAGTGAACCATCATCTCCACAAGACTTTGGACCATTAGTAGCAGTATCAATCTGTCACTAAAAATGTAGCTCTGGAAAGCCCATTGTTTCAGGGTTTTTTTTTTGTTTGGTTAGTTTTTGTTTGGTTTTTTTTTTTTAATTTTTTTAAATGTGGAATACAAAAGGAACAGGAGAGAAAGGTACATTAAATTTTTATCTGATAGTTCGAATAAGCAGGACTTTGCAAGAAAGTAATTCTGAAGATTGAAAAATATATAAATTACAAGACTTGTTAATGTCTTTACTGTTACAAAAATTGTCTAGGCTCTTATACAAATCTATAGCTGGAAGGGAACATTTATAAAAAAATAAACAGGCACCCTAGAAAAGTTAAAACAAGTTATCACATATTAGTTACCAACTATTAAGTACATACATACATGAAGTGCAGAGTCAAATATAAAACCAAAGGTGCCTCAGTTAGCTGTCTATTTAATTAAATACCTGGTAAACATGGGTCACATATAAAGTTGTCTGGTAAGACCAGTACAAGCAAAGCAAGGAGACTAGAAATACACCTATGTTACTACAGCCACTTTAAAAACATATTTACCAGTTGTGCTTACTGGAAGCCAAATCCATTGGTATTGGTAATAGGCATTCATATTGTTCATTGTACACAAGTATGAACATTGCTATGCATGTTTAAAAATAAGTGTCCTAATATCATTCACAGTTGTTGCTGTGCTATTAATACATAAAAATGTCATTTCAAATAAAAGATTTTTTCAAAACATTTTACAAATTTTACATTATTTACAAATGCCAGTAATTTATTTTATTTTTTTTTTTTTTTACACAAGTATCAGAGGGCAGTTTTACTTAACTGGCTATGTATAGTATGTAACATTGCTAGGTGAACTAGAAAAGTTTAATCTACAGGTTTTGAAATATCTCAAAAATACTGCAATTAGGAATCTTCCAAGTTGATAAATTTTCAGGGTTCTTTTTCTGTATTCAACTGATTTTCTTATAAAAGGATATTTTTTAAAAGTTTTTTTTTTTTTTTACAGTTTACCAGCAGCCATACATACACGCATGATTATTTGCACTACAAATCCTAGATCTCCCTCCAACCCCTCCCCAAAGTGCTACAACAATTGACCAAGATACAAATAAAATTAATCTGAGATTATGTTGCATATATTATGTTCCAGTTCTACTGTAAGTTACATGTAGTTTAAAAAAGAAAAAGAAAAAAACCCAACAAAAACCAACCCAACCCTGACCTTGACAAAGAACCACCAAAGCTACTGTTCAAATGTCTACCATGGACAATTGTGCTAAACAATTGCTAACATTTGGTTGAAGTAGTAAAACTCATATAAGGTATGTAAGTTTTATAAATGTAAAAAAGCTTTCCTAACTGTGCAAGCATAAGTGTTTCTTATGCATATTTAACTTTCTTGGATTATTTTCATAATGAAAAGGCATTGATGTTCAGATGTAACTAGCAGCACCCGAAGTTAACACTACGAAATGGCAAAATTTAGTCTTTTTGGATTGTGTCAGTCTTTGCTGACATTAAATTACATATTGTTCAGTGTTACAAGACTGAAACAGAACTCCAAACCCCTCCGACACCACAACACACAGCAGGTAATTCTGAACAGCCAGGGTTGCTGCTTTCTTCCCCAGCTGTCACTGGGCCACGTGCTGGGCCTCAGAACAATTGCATAGTTCGGTGCACCAATTTAACTAACCAAATAAAAGCCAAATAAATCCTCTACTTTTGTTACTGAAATAAGTCAGGTTAAGAAAAGACATGGCAAATGCCAGAGCTGCCAAAACTGCAGGGCAGAGTGCTAGGGCAGATGAAGAGAGGAACCTCCGCTTTTCTAGCCCCCTCAGCCACTGCAGGCTAAATGGCTGCAGGTTCAGACAGCCTGATGTGCCAAGTAGAGAACATACGTGTGTGTGGGAGTGCTCTGCATAGGAAAAAGCATCAGTAAAATCAAGTGTCTGACCTCCATTAAACATTGCTCGAAATGTCAAGCTCAAAAGAGACATAGGAAGCTGAATAAACAGCAGCACTGACTTTGCATGCAATAGTAGGATAAATCAGAACTGAACATAACTAGCAAATATATCTAAAACCTTACAAAATTAAACTTTTCATACTTGCATGGTAACTGTATTTTAAAATTAGCATCCTATTCTGCTACATCAGTTTGTAGTTTGTGGTTAAATTTAATTTTAGTAAGTTAAAGTATGAACAAATCTGATAAATATGTTTTAAAATGTACACTAACACAGAGCAGGTGTATTAATAGGACATGCTATTTCTGCAGTTTCCTTGAAAAATCTCACTTAACACTTGCAAAACAGAACAACCATTTCTAAAGAATTCTTGTTAAAGCTTTTCAAATAAAAACTTTGAAATTATCTGGGTAAACTTGTATTAAAGACACTTGAAGGTTTGTGAAAGCACATACTCTCAGAGAAGTCAGCTGAAAAAGCCCCATGTCACCTTCTACTATCTATCAGGACAAATACTGCTCAATTATAACTACATTTACTTCATTATATATGGTAGTATATTTATCCCTTTTGTTAGTCTATGCATGTAGTGACCACAGTTCAAAGGAACACTTTTTAAATAGCAACTTACTAAATTTTGTTACAAAAAAAGTAACATCTAGTTGATTCCACTGCTGTATGATGTATACACTCAAAGGGACTGTTTTTAGTATTAAGTGTAAAAGACAAGCTGAGTAACAAAGGGAAGCATTAAGGCAACCAGAGTAACAAATCTAAGAACCCGAAGTTTAGCACCTCTCCTCCTCTGTTCACCTCTATTTGCATATTCATTTACAGTCCAAAGTACAGTAAACTCAGTACATAGTTATTACACACTCTCTTAATGTCTGTGCCCATTTACAGGCTACATGAAATACCAAAGTCAGATCCAGATACTCTTTTTTCCAAGACTATCTACTGCAGTGTACACTGTCTACGTTTGCCTTGTACCGTTGCTCGGGATGTGGAATGCCTGGGCTTAAGAGCAGCATGGTATGTAGCATTCAGTTCTACTCCAGTTGATGGGGGATGCTATTCTTTGTGAAAGCTTCCACTGTCTGTAAAATACACCTTGGGTCTCTGATGATATTTCATTCTGTATGTGTCAGTCATACAACTATCTACTGAAAAATAAGTCGTTAGGGATACACTATCATTTCCATCCACATAACCAGCACTTGGTCCTGTATGATGAGATCCTGTCTTTAAAAAGTTTTCAGACAGAGTCCAAAAATCATTAACTGATAAGCGAGGTGGAGAATCGGGTTTATAAACAAACAGCTCATTCCCTTGAAATGGCTCTTTAAGCCTTTGTTCATTTGTAAATACACTTGCTTCTGATCCAGATTTTAAAGGTGTACCCATTTGCCTCGACGTATCGTTTTGCAACACCTCTGTCGACTTTGTACTGGGTGCCAGGTTATTTTCTGATACTAGAAAAGTATTCAGAGCATGCTTCTTTGGCGGTAAAGGCGGAGGAAGATTCTGGTACACTGCTTCAGGCACCCAAAGAGCATCCACCCTTCGGAGTGGGTGTCCGGCATACTCACTGTGAGAGTGAAACACTATAGGCCTTTCTGACAGGTTCTGTGGCACACAAGGTGACAAACCCACCTTGGGACCAAACATTCTTATGTGATGAGGCTGCGGCTGGGAAGAGGAGTGAAAGTTGTTGCTCATCAGCTTTCTTCCACAGACATTTTCTGTAGAGGGGTGGGATACGCCATCTGCACAATATATTGGCATGCTGACCTTCTCTAACTTGTCTGGACTAAGCCACTCTGAAGAATTCTGTTCACTTGACTTGTTTCTACTTTCTGACTTCACAATGTCTTTAAGAATTGGCTGTAGAGGTGATGATGGGAAAAGTTTCCTATTGGTCTCAGGCATTTCAGCTCTGAAATACAAAACCACACAAGATGTAAGTGTCCCTAAAAACATATAAAAGAGCTCCTATAACCCAAGGATTTTTTTTTTTAAGACAGCCTTGGTAACACTGCTTACATATTCCACCTGACTAGAGAACTGGAATCTGCTTAACATACAGCCATTTGATTAAAAGTCATATTAAATCACTCCAAAGTTTCTTTCATTTGAAATGTAAAGTGCCCCAGAAAATGTTTGCATCAATACCTGTTAAGGCAAGAAAAATTCTTTCCACATTTACGACTACATCAAAAATAACCTCTGCTTTCTTCAAAACATCTCTGACTCAGACTGATACATCCACTTTTCAAATATTAGGTATTACTTTTGGGTGCCAAATTTTTATTTAGGTTCTTCACTTTTAGGAGGCACTGAGCACTTACAGTTCAAATTAGAAACAACTGGTATATAGCAGCAGCTTCCAAACAGAAATCACCTCTTTCTCCCCTTCCAGGCAAACTCCTCAAGATTTCATGGGGTTACTGCTCTAACCACAAATAAGTTAATCACTGCCTGCTGCAGTATATTAAAGTAAAACCATAAAACTATTGAACCCCTTTGCTCTGCTAGGATGGTTTAAAACAGTGTTAGCTATTTGATTCCATTGACAGAGAGAGCATTTACCCTTATCAATTATATAAAATAAAAAAAGGTACTGTGTCAAAAATAGTCAATATCTTAACATCTGAATGGTTAATACTGATTACTATCACATAACAGAATTATTAAACTGTTACACAGTAAATTAATGCCAGTATTAGTTACCTCTTTACTGGAGGACTGGGCACCTGCAGATATAATTCTGTTGGAGAATTAACATGAGGTCTGTAGTTAACTTCTGAATTGACCTGGTCTTTCTTCAAGTCTGAGGGCAGAAAAAAATTCTTTCAAAATCAGCAGAAATACAGTCCAGTTCCTTCTTTGTAATTCCTCAGATGTTACAAAAGCCAAACACAATGTAACAGGACAACTAATTCCTTTCAAGAGTTGACATTGGTCAAAATAACCATTTTGAAGACAATCAGTCACAGAAGGTCAAATCTTACATTCATCCAAAATAATCTGAAGGAAATGAGGAAATCTGTTGTTGTTTGATGGCTTTTTTTTTTGTTATCAGAATATAAGCAATTACCACAATTTAGAAGTCCTGTATTCATGGTTCCAAGATCTTAACATTTCATATAATTAAAAGCAGATTTTGAAAAGCAGCTTTTTATGAAAGCACATTTATTCAAACATCCAAACTAATTTAAATTACAAAATAAAAACTATTTACTATTTCTGAAATTTCACATCATGTAATTATTATAAAATGGAATGAATACTGCAGGGATTAGGGGGTGGGGGTCTTTTTCTTCTTGTTTGTGGGTTGGGTTTGTGCTTAGGTTTTGTTGGGTTTTATTTGTTTGGTTTTTTGTTTGTTTATTGAATAAATGCATTCTCTGAAACCAATTCAAACCTACAGCAAACTGTAAAGTTCACAGAGATGCTGAGCAGACAGCACAGGCAGTCATGTGCTCTAAACACAGAGTGTGCCTGTGCCAGCACTATTACGCTCCAGAAGCTCTTCTTATTCACAGACAACGAATCATTCTTTAAAAAGACACAATTTCTGAACAATGCAGCTTCTAGTTAACACTAAATAAAAGGAAGCACTTAAGTATCCATGGCAAGAACACAGAATAAAATACTCTCTTGGCAAGTGACAAACAATGGTCTATTTGGAGACAAATATGACAAGTCTTCCTAATGCAATGACTGGGCATTTATAATGTGCCACCTGCTCTGAAGCTATTCAAAGAAGTCTTATTCTATGTATATCTAGACTAGATTAAGGTAACTACTTAGTCTATTAAAAAAAACAGAAAATAAAAAAGGCAGCATGCATTGCCCAATTTCTAGTAGAATAATCCTGTATTCAGTATTTAGACAGTTTCCAATGAGGTAACACACACTGTTCCACACTGTCATCAACACGACCTAAATTTTGTACCTATTCTTAAATTATGTAATCTTACCAAGATCTAATATTTTAATTTACTTATTTCCTCAAGTTTAAATAAAGTCTTGTAACTTTTGACTCGTGAACATACAAGTCAAAACCCCAACAACAGAAAAGAACTAAACTAAAAATTCTGGGTGATGCTGCTGGGCGATACTTGCTTTGAGGGTCAGTATCTGCCCTATCTTTAACTGACGAAAGATCAAAGATACTAAATCTTCAACAAACAAGACAGGCTGTACAGGCTAACACAGCACATAGCACAAGAGATAAAGCCCCCACATGGCTTTCCTTTGAGCCTTTAAATGAGGAGGAGGGAAAAAAAAAAAAAAGTTAAAAAATCTTGCTATCCCAGCCTGATAAACAATACCACAACCTTAGAAAGAATACTCATGGGAAAATATTGTTACTGAATGAGCCTGTGTGAAACTGGCAAGGGACAAGCAAGTCATCTGAAAGAAAGTTCAAAACTGCTCCAGTGGCCCATGGCATTAGAGCTAACCAACGTCAAGGTAATATTTCAAACTGAAAAGGTTTCATTCTGCTACAGATTTTAATGATGCATAAATCGCTTTACTGAAGGAAAAAAAAATAATTAAAAAAGGCACAGGCTCTGACACATTATTTCCTGCAACTATTTCCAATTCAGTATTTAATTTCTATCCCAATGTTATGATACAGTCCTAGGAATGAATTAGTTAAATAATTTGCTACATTAACAGTTCCAAAGCTAGTGTTTTTAACCTTCAGACTCTGACTATTATAGGAGAGTACGTCTACAGAGAAATCACAAATACATCACCCATACAACTGCGCCTTAATTCCCCAAACTGCCTGATGCAAAGAGAACAGATACTAATTTTATCTTTACTCCAAGCCAAGCTCCTAAGGCGGAGCTCTCAACAGGCAGCAGCACAAGCTGGTCTGGAGGTGGCAGCAAAGGGCTCCGTCTCAGCAGTCGCTGTCTCAGCAAGGGTCAGCTGTCTCTGGCGTGACCACAGCACACATTCAGCCAAAGCTGCTTAGTGTTACCTGGTGGTTTGTCCCTCCAGAATTCCAGCTAACTTAAAAATAGATGTGTTATTTTCTCTTCTGCTGACAGGATACCCATGCATGGTTAAAACCAGAAGCAGATGCGATTGGGAATTTTGGCTCTAGGTTCATTGCAAACCTAAATATGGGACACAAAAGCACTACGCTCAACTGGTGACTGATATCCTTATCAATGGGTCATACGAAGTTTACCAATAAACATAGCATAACTGTTTCCTGAAATACAAACCAATCTGCTCTGAAGATTTATGAACATGTATTTTCACATCTGAATAACCAATCTAGATTTTCAGAAGATTAACATCCATTCTATAGCCAACAGGTAGGCCAGAGAAGTTCTGCTATAATATCTTCATTTACACATACAGAACATTTCCAAACATCTGCAAAGCTCAGTGTTACAGGGAACCAAATAAACAGGACGAACCCCCACCCCAGTATTAAATTTCCTTTTAATATGTTTTAGCCCCATGTTTCCTGTCCTTTTGATTACGTGATGATTATTTTTTTTTCCCCTAAGTTTCCAATAAAAAAGACAAGGTGTACTACTTAGAAGTATTTACAACAGAAGAAGTACTGTGGCAAATTCCTCTCTCTTAACCAAGGTATTTTTCTGTATTCAGTTGACATGACAAACTTCCTGGAAGCTTTGGAAAAGTGGAAACATAATGCCAGTCAAGGGTCATAGAATCATAGAATAGTTAGGGTTGGAAAGGACCTTAAGATCATCTAGTTCCAAACCCCCTGCTATGGGCAGGGACGCCTCACACTAAACCATGTCACCCAAGGCTCTGTCCAGCCCGGTGTTGAACACTGCCAGGGATGGAGCATTCACAACTTCCCTGGGCAAACCATCCCAGTGCCTCATCATCCTTACGAGAAAATGAACAAATTATAACTTGTCCAAAATAGAATATTACCTTGAAAAAAAAACCAACCAAAACAAACCAAAACACAAAAAAATAACACCAAATCAGTGACCATCTTTAGAAGAAAAAAAAAAAATTAAAAAAATCCTTATGTTCAAGAAGCTGTTCTTTTGGACCAACATTCAGTTGCAAAACATTTCTTATATATTCATCACTGCTGTTTTTCCATGACTTTAAACATCTGAAGAAAACTGAAATACAAGTTTCACTTGGGATTTTTGTGGGGTTTTTTTGAGTTTTTTTTGGGTTTTTTTTTGTTTACAGGGTGGGGTGGTGCATATCTGCATGTGTGCAAGCATTTAAGTAAGTTCTGAAGTGAAAGAACAGTTGACAAGGACTACTACCCTTCCCTTCAATCTGACCTGGCTGTCTCAAGAAGTTCATCAGCTCTTAGTTTTAAAACACATTTCTGAACTTTGCATCATCTATTTTAAACTGTGAAGTTCTCACATGAATGAATTGGAAATGTGAGAGTCCTTTGTACTTCAATCTTCATGGGCTGCTTAACTACATTTGGGAATCTTGGGGATTTTTTTGGTGATTATGTTTTTTTGGGTTTTTTTTTATTTTTTACCAAAATCTTTAATCATTTAAAGACACTCCAAAAAAGGCATTTATTTCTTTCTGTTTCATATTATGTAAATTAAGTAGCTTTGTGGTTTAATTTTCTACTCAGTTCTTCAAACAGATCATATACACTGACTGCACTATAAAGATATCAACTACATTTTCCTAGGTATATTTGCATTATTTTAAATCATTACTATAAATGTATGGTTTTCCTAAGAAGATGAGTTTTCTTTTTGAGAATTTTGACTTGTTTGTGAGGTTTTCTGAAGTGACAAATAAACAAAGGCAATTTCGATTCTTCTTTACATATTCACCAGAGCTTCAGAATGATTCTAGATTTCAGTTGGAGTTGTCTCATGCTATTGAATTGAATAATTATTAATGGGAAAAAGTCTGGGTTTGTAATATTACAGAAACAATTTTGCATTTATTTTCAAGGTGAAGCAGTTTTAATTTAAGGCATTGATTCCAAGTATATCTTCTTTTGAGATCACTGAAAAGGCAGCTTTTAATACTGCAGGAAGCCTCTTAAATAGGAGGCCAACAAGCACTTGGCCAATTTTAATCACAGTGCTTATTGTACTGACAAGTTAGCTCAAGAATGAAGTGCTCTGAGCTTTGGGGAAGGGGGCTGAATCTAGAAAACAGGGCTCCTAGGATTTAATTCCCCCTCCTCCCCTCTAAGCCTTCCCAAAAGTAATGCTTTTTATTGAGTGGCAATATCATTAAGGCCTCTGTGCCTTAGGAACTGGGGAGGGTTGTAATGAAAACCACCAAAATCACTTAATGACTGAAAATTATTCTTAATAACTAGAACAGAAATTGCTCTGAAAATCCATTTAAAAGTTGTGGCCCTTCGCAACTTCAAAGAATTAGTCATCTTTCTTCAACTTGAAGATGTGAGGTTCAAAGTTTTCCTCTCTCACTGTTTATGCCACATGCTCTTTATAAATAAAAAAATAACCTCAACAGGTTCATCAAACTTCAGAAACACTACCTCATTAATATAAACTGAAGCTATTGTATCTGCTTACTGAATACCCAAGTTTCCCTGTGAAAATCTGATAACACAAATTAGGGATTGGCCTTGCAGGACATTTGTTTCAGTACTACAGTTATTTACTATTTATTACCAGAGAAAGAAGCAGCCATTTGATCTGCATAACCACTGTGTGATCCAACATTACTATCTTTATAATGCTCTAACAATAAGTTTTATTCCTCAACTGCTGAACTGACTTATGCAGCTCCAGTTAAAAGCAATGAAACAATAAAGCACTGTTATACAAATGGTGGGCATAATTTGGATTTCAACATTATTTCTATAAGAAACTTTTCCATACAAAACCCCCACTCAGAAATATTTTTTCAAGTTGCCCTGAGAAGCTAACAAAGATTTCTTACATTCTGCTCTTCTCTCAGAAGAGATTAGGCATTTCTGTCTTATTTTCTGGGAGACCGTCTGGTATTTACCTATCAATTAATGTTTTGTTTATAAGATTCAGAGATATATTACATAAGGTAATACAACTAATACCTGTAAATGAGTACTATTTGCCCTTGCTAAAGGTGTCCTGACATTCAGACAACCAAAAAGCCTGATTCTAAATGCACCAGTAACCTCATACACTCGTGAAATTTCTTCAAACTCTTCAGGTATCTTTTCAGTCCAATAATCACTTTATTCCAAAATATGCTCGCCTGTGAGAACTTGACATTTGATTTAAATACATACCTTTTTGTTACAAAACTATTCAAAAGTCAGTTACTGAATTAGAACTGAATAGATGGGATCTTATCATCAATGTTTTATGATAACTCCAAGGATCACGCAGAATCGCTACATATTTTCTTGAAGAAAATGGACAATGCATGTTGAAAGCTTTAAATATACTGAAGTAAAGTACATGGCTGTTTCCGGAGATTGCTCAGTATTAAGCTCAAACATCGTCTGAACCTATTTTTCATTCCAACGGAGCCCTTTATGCATTGGGGTTTTTTTTCCTCTTTTTCCTACCCAAGTGTGGTATAAGTGGTGTAAGTATAGTACACAACTAAAGCAGAATCAATGTCATGCAAAGCCAGATCTTTGCAATATGAATTTTGTTGGTGTTTTTTTTTTTTTGTTATTGTCAAAAACCACAAATACAAAATTAGTTCTCTCTCCACAACCAAAAAATAAATGCAGTAATTCCAGAAGAGATGATTGGTATGACACACCCCCCTCCAATTTAAGTCTTAAAAGAAACTATATTATGCATTCTTTTCAAATAAGTATGGTATTTATAAAATCAAAACATTTCCTGGGGAAGTGGCCTGGTATTTATTGCACCTCTTTGTACAAGCCCCATTCCATTGTTCCAGCAACAGTCAGTAATTTTGGCTGGCCCCATGCTGACTTGTAATATTTATATGCTTAGGCATTTATCAATTTTATAAAACCCCAGACATATTACTATGTAAAAGGAAAGAGATTTCCTTATTACAAGTGTTTCTTCCTGATACTGCTTCATATCTTAAAGAAAACAAATGGTACCACAGTCCACCCAGACATTAAAAAAAATAAAACCTTCCTTAGTATTCACCAGGAAAGTCTGTGGAAATGCTGTTAGGAAAAACATAGGGAGGGAACAAAATTAGTATCATTGTTCTTTTTTGTTTATTTTGGTTTGGGGGGCAGGAAAGGAACACGCTTGCTACAAATCAAACTTAAAACCAAAACATTAAACTGAGACATATGTTCTGAAAGCAGAATTTAACCAACAGAAATGGAGATCAAAATTTAATAATTTCAATTGGATTAAAAAAAAAAGCACCAATTAAGGCCAGTAAAAATTAATTATACTGCATGTTTTACACCAGCATAGAGTCATCCAAAAATCTCGCAATCATTGAATGATAGAAGGGTTTGGGTTGGAAGGGACCTTTAAGAATCCCTTAGTCTAATCCTACTGCTGTGGGCAGGGGCACCTTCCACTACACTGGGTTGCTCAAATCTGTAGCCAGTCTGGCCTTGACACTTCCAATGACAGATCATCTGCAATTTCTCTGGACCTGTCCCTGTGCCTCACCACCCTCATCGTAAAAAGATTCCTTCCCAGTGTCTATTCTAAATATACCCTCTTTCAGTTTAAAACTGTTGCCCCTTGTCAGGTCACTACAAACCTCAGTAAAATCACCAATACTGGTGTTTTCATTTTTTGTACAGAGAACCTACACCAGCCAGTAGCAGTTACGCACCCGGCCACTTCCTGAGCAGGCAGTGGCACATGACACACACAAGGAAGGACAAACTGCTCTACCCACCTAGAGAGAAAATGCTGTGTAACAAAACACACCAGAAGAAGACCACTATGGCAAGAAGACTGATTGTATTCTGATTATCTAACAATTTATATAAAAAAAGCTATGGCCTCCCAAAATGATACTTGTATTTTCCACACAAAAATGCTGTATTTAAAACAGATCGAAGCACTTAAAGAAAAAAAAAAAAGAAAAGAAAAAAAGGAAGAAAAAAGGAAAAAAGAAAAATCACTCAGCCTGCTACTTTGGTGCTAGAAGTCATGTGAAACAACTGTTCGGGAGGCATGTCATGCTTTTACATGATTCAGCACACTGAAAGCTGCCACTGCTGTCCGAAAAGGAGATGCTAAGAACAGGTAAACTCTCAAAATGCATATTGATGACCTAGCACCTACATAGGGAACTGCTACTGCTGCTATCATCATAGCATTAACAATTCTCTTTACATGATGGTAGGGCACTGAGAAAACCCAACTCCTTTATTTGGGAATCCATGTATCATGGCAGATAGCTATGAATCCATTTACACTGTATATTTACTCTGCAAGAAAGCCAAGAAATTAAACATATTAAGGTGCTTCGTGGAACAGAAAGCTTTAAATGCCCCTAAAAAAAGTGAGTTATTGAACTGCTGCTCTATCACATTTCCATCAAAATGGCCCAAGATGAGATATGAACGCTTGCCATCTTTATCGATCAGTCTTAACCCACTGAAGAGGCTAAAAATGTGAATAAAAACAAAATTTGACATTACCTTATGCAGAAAAACTATGAATTACAAAAGGCAGATTAGGAATCTGTTCATCTCTTTTGGATATTAGTAAGCTAGTATTTAAATTTTGTTAGATCTAAATTGGTTTTAGAAAACTTATACAAGTATATTCCTTATATTTCTTATACAAGTATAAGGAATAAGTACAAGGATAAGGTACCTTATGCAAGTATAACGTGTACTTCTTATACAAGTAAAACATCCTTACCATAAAAGTTTCTTCTCTGTTGTGTATGTAACTCATTGTCAGGTTTTTTAGTTGGCAAGTTCTGTTCACTGTAAAAGACGCATACAATCAATTTGAAGGCTTAAATCAATGATGTATGATCACAAACTTTACTGCCTTAAGTGCATAAATGCGTAAAAACTCTGCCTATGTGAAACCGACTCCTGTTATCATCGTTGACTCTTGTTACCATCATTGTCACAATTTTTACTAACACATACAAACTTCACAGAAGATACACAGAACAGCAGGGGTGGCTCTTTAATACTTCAACACCACTCCCACATGTTAACAGGCTGTGCTGATACAGAGAAATTTAGCATGACCTGAATACTTCAATAAGGGCAGACAAAAAAAATACACAGTGCAAGGCTGGTGTTCTCAGTTCATTCTGGAGACTGGACATCCACGCATCCCACCCTTATTCTAGATTAGAAAAGCAGGATACTGAAAACACAGCATGAAAAAGGCAAATTTTCTTGATGCAGGTATTACATCAGCCTGCGTAATAAAAAGAGCTGGTTCCCACAGTTGTTACAACAGAAAAATGACATGTCACCTGTGAGAAAGAACCACCAACTGCACTTTTCCCCACTATAACCTAAAGAATTTCATAAAAATGTCACAAAGTCCTTATTAACTGAGATCACCAAGAAAGCGTGACTATTTGAATACCCATTTTCTCTAGTGATTTTCAAATAGAACAGATACCACTGGTCAATTTCAAATTTGTTTGTAGGTTTTACCTAAAATTGCTGCTCTTATTGTGGCAAAAGATTACCATGCATGTGGTACTATATGGTTTCAAATTTATCATCAGTGTCACCCACATCTGAAACAAGGACATTTTTCAGCTTTAACAGTTCTATACCCTGAATATCTCAAAGTTAAACATACCTTATTAAGACAAGCTCAAGTTTCCTAAAAATGCAAACTTCTCATCAGTATCAATATCCTAAGTATGTAATCTGTTAGCTAGCATTCTGTCTTGCCCATTTCCCTACTTTGACATTCTGCAATTCATTAATACTTTGTTGTGACAAGAAACATCATTCTTGCAATTCACTTAGGTCTTTCATTCATAGAGATTTTCATTTTAAAATTTTTTATCAAACTTGAAGAGAACTAGAAAATTCCAGCAACAAATCTAAGAGGAAAGGGGAAAAAAGTGAAATCAGCAGATTTAGTATGTCTTGCTGGTTTACTTAAGTAAAAAGTATGCCTTACCAATCCAGATAGGGAGCTGACAAACACCCTGTCAATTCCTTCCTGCTCCAAGAGTAAAGCAGGGAAGGAGATACAATTTTTCAATTAAGATAAACAAAAGAAACTCTTGTTATTGAAAGTACGGAAAACCAAGAAAAATAGTGAAATAGGAAGAACTGGGAAAGAACCAATCAGAAAACAAAACACTTCCTTTTTTTTTCCACCTTCTAAAAGAACTTTCAAGTAATTCCCTTGTATTTTCTGTTTTTATAAGACAAAGTATGAAAGGTTAGAGGGGAGGTTGTGGGTACTGCCAGTCAACTCTAATTACCATTCGTATAAAAAAAAATCTTTGTGAAAATTCTAGGAAGTCATTTGTATTTTGATTAAGAAAGTTGCTTTGTTTCGGTTTAAATTTTTTAGACAAGTCAGAGCCTTTTAATTTCCAGGTGTATGCTGTTCTCTTTCAGCACATTAAAAGTTATTTTAATAACTTCTAATGAAAATATACATCCAAAATTTTGCTTAAATCTAGCAAACGTGTGACTAGATTTGGTCTCACAACTGTGCTTTTACATTTAATGGATATAAGTAGGATTCAAAATAAGAATGTATGACTTCTAGTAGGAATTAAGTTTCACATGCAGATTAAGAAACCCAGTACAGGCAACCCCATGCGGAAGGTTGATAACTTCGTATTTCACAGCACTGCATAATTGTGTAAATTGGAAGGGACATCTGCAGATCATCTAGTCCAACCCTCCTTGCTCAAACAGGGTCAACTACAGCAGGCTGCCCAGGACCATGTCCAGTTGAGTTATGAACACATCCACAGACAGACATTCTATAGAATCTCTAGGCAACATACTTGTTACTAGCATACATCAGTTCTTAGTAAATTAATAAAATTTGGCTATTAACTAAGTTTTTGGACAATTTTAGTGATTTTACACTTTTTTTGAAAGATTTCTTTCAAACAGGTGAATAAAGTATCAGGTGATGAATATATATACCTGAGATGTTCTAAAAAACTAATTTCAGAACAATGACCAGTAACTGTGTACCAGATTCACCTACTGCCATTCCCATCTCCTTGTCGGGGGCCTGTTTGTACAACTGCTAAAGATACCACTCATGTAGACACCTGTATTCCATTACACATGGCCACAGTCTAAAACCTTCCAACTAAATAAGTGTAGCAATTATTTTAAATTCAGACACCCTGCCCCCACTCAGGGATTAGCAGTTCTGGCTCAGCACCATAACAATGCGGCTCAGTGCCTTCCAAAGGGAATTAATGTTGTAGACTCAGAGTGAACATAAACTTAATTGTCCACACCCTTATTTCTAGATACATTGCTAGCTTACTAAATACCTGACCTCAAGCATACAAAGTTACAAAGTATGTTATCTTGATTATTTTTGAAACAACACAAGCATTGTAACGACTTACTTTACCTATAAATACCATCCATGCAAGTTCTAAGAGCATTAGTGTTACCTGCAGGCAGCACTTTCTCTAACATTCTTGACATCTGCCAGATTGATTCCTTCAGTAACAGGCGAGTCTGGATTTGCAGATCCATTGCTGATATGATCGCTGCTTTCATACCCAGATTCTGTCTTCTGATTTTGCCAGTTATCACCATGTATTTTTCTCTCTGTAAATCCTTTGCTTTTTTCAGCATTCCCTTTTCCTTCTGAGTCCAGTGAACTTCGACTTCCTATACCCTGTTTTGTTTCATCTTCATATATAGTCATTAAACCCTTCTGGATTTGGTTCTCTTTTGGCCAATAGCTAAAGCTTTGCTCCTTTTCATGCTTAGATTTACTGTTTGGATTTGCCTTGTGCTTTGGGCTATGCTGTTTTTTCTCAGTCTCGCTGAAAATGCTGTCTACATTTAGCATCTCCCGCATAGGTTTCCAACCTTTACTTCTGCTTCTGCTGCTGATACTTCCCTTGTCCCTAGAGTCTTGAGTGGTGTCTGTATTGTAGCCAGTGACACCATCAGTCCGGGTCCTTATCAATGGTTTCTCCCCAGTAGGACAAGCTTCTGTTTTATTTGATCCAATCACCTGTACAGAAAGCTTTGCTTGGTGAGGTGCACTGTCATGCTTGTAAGAGCCTCTTCCCTGGCTGCTGTGTATGCGCTGATCAGCACAGTGTCTGCTTCCAACTGGAGGAGACCCCAGGTTAACACTGGCACGATCTTCCCCCATCAAATCTTAGAAGGCAGAGAAAAAAAAAAAAGCTCCATTAAAGTTCTCAATTTTTAACTGATGCTGTTTCAGTACTTTTGTTTATTACACTATCTCAAAAAGTTCAATACATTTGTTTTAGAACACCAAAAATTGAGAAATTCTCATCTTACAGGTGTGTTCTCTTCAAGGAGATTATTTTAAAAGCTGCATACATAGTATTGATTTTTACAGATATTTAACCCCTTGGGTCATATTTAGAATGTACCTCTTTGTCTCCCAGACTCTTTCCTTGGTCCTCTGTCTGCATCTTTCCGTAAAGATGAGAAGTTTTTAATATCAGCAGCTTTCTGAGCACACTCTCTGGATATGTCCTTTAGCTTGTCCTTTTGATTGCTGTAAGTTAACTTAGCTACAAAAAACACTTTTCGTCAAAGATCATTACTAAAAAGTTATTCATCATCAAAACATGTCAATACATTTATGTACCACGTTTTTTAATATTACTCCTACTTAAAAAGGCTAATTAATTACATAACATAAATTAAGAAAACAAGATATACAGTATATACACGCAATTACCTCCAAGTACTCCACCCAATGGGGATAACGAAAGGAACCAAAGCAGCATAATGTCAAGCATGTCTCAAACACCTCTTACTAAAACTGAACTCTCAAAGCATATACCACTCAAAGCATATGCTATTTACACCAAACTTTATGACTTATACCGAAATTACACTAAAAAAAGTTAATGTCAGTTTAATCTTGTCTGAACATAAGCATCACAGAATGGCTAGGGTTGGAAAAGACCTTAAGGTCATCTAGTTCCAACCCCCTGCCATGGGCAGGGACACCTCACACTAAAACATATTGCTCAAGGCTCTGTTCAACCTGGCCTTGAACACTGCCAGGGATGGGGCATTTATCACTTCTTTGCCCAACCTGCTCCAGTGCCTCGCCACCCTCACAGTAAAGAACTTCTTCCTGTATCTCACCTGAACTTCCCCTGTTTAAGTTTGAACACATTACCTCTCGTCCTGCCACTACAATCCCTAACAAAGTGTCCATCCCCAGCATCCTTATAGGCCTTTTTCAGATACTGGAAGGCTGCTATGAGGTCTCCACACAACCTTCTTTTCTCCAGGCTGAACAGCCCCAACCTTCTCAGCCTGTCTTCATACGGGAAGCGCTAGTTTTACTTTTCTTAAAACAGTGGAGCTTATAAAAAGTGGAGTTTATAAGAAGAGATAAAAGTCCTTTTGTTTCTGAAATGGTAAATACTGACTGTTTTGGAGCCATAATTCCATTTCAAAGCATTCTGTTTCAAAAAAATCTAGGTATTCAACAATAAATATGATGGAGTAATATTTCAAGAGAAAGCAGCATCTCTCAGCCTAGAAAGTATGGGAAGTTCAGAGCAAAGGCACTCTGACAAGCAGTGCAGAAGTCACTGCTTCATGACTTCTTATAGCTTCATTTGCTTGGAAGTCTAATGTACAAATAGAACACACTTTTCAACAGGGAAGACCACTATTTTACTATTCTTTCCAAACATAAGGTGAAGTCCATTATTATACAGGACTACAAATAATGCTGAGTATCACAATATTGCTGGGGAACAGCATTCTTCAAATACTGTGGTTTTGTGATCACAGGCTATGTGCTCCAGAAGATCAGTCAGGTTAAAGTTTCTAATATGCCTTTTCATTAATAATATGATTGGAAGGTATGATGGTGAGTGAGAAATAGATCATGGCCTCAAGAGTCAGTTCAGTACAGGAATAATTAGGGGTAATAAAAAAAAATTTGTATTTACAGTTCTCAAGAAAAGTTAACATCCCACGGCAGATATAACTTAAACACTAGTTGCGATTCCAAGATTCATTCAAGTCAATGATAGAATTCTATCTTTAGAAACAGTTCTAGTCCAGAGACTACCATACGTCTGGAATGCTATCAACTGAAGTATTTCGTAACAGTATACATTTTGGGGTTTTTTCAGGGACAGGAGTAGGTAATACATACCTGTATCTCTACCACCACTAGCTTGAATATGGCTTCTACTGAATGCTGAATTATCTGGCTGAAGTTTTTTATGAGCCCTTTGATTACTGGGGTCTCCGATTCCATTCTCCTTCATTTGGTGTGATTTAGGAGCAGAATGCTTTTCAAGTCCTATCAAATAACATAATTACTTTTAGAAATTAGGAGTTTCTAATTCAAAGTTACCAATATCTAAATTAAAAAATAAGAAAACTTTTTAATCATGGATTAGAGAAAACCCCCATTAGAAAACCACACCCTATTTCAATATGGTATACAATAAGGTTCTGCAGTATTTTATATACTGCCATATTTATAGTGGTAGACTATAGTGAAATCACTCAATTCTTTCTTCCCTGAAGCAGTCTATGTCCAATTATTACTCATTATGTAAAGAGGAACACGTCAAGTTCAACTGGCCTTTTATGTTATGTTTAATATTAAAAAAACTAAACATAAACCCTTCCCCCCCAAAATACCACCACCACCAAGCCCAAGCCCCTCCCTCTCCCCAAATAAAAATAAATCCACAAAATAAATCCACAAAACCCACCAAGGCAGCAGTACAAACTACAGAACTACAGAACCAACACAACTGGCTTCTTACATAGAGGCCTATGCTATATGAACCCTGGAGAGAAGTTTCCTGCAGCTCCTCCTGATTTTTTCCCAACATTCTGACTTGTACTCTGTGTATGTATATATATATATATATATACACACATGTACATATACACAAACACAGATGCTCCAAATAGACCTCTCTATGTGTACGAAGCTTTTTTTTTTGTATAGCATTTATATTTTTATAGCATTTCTGAAGGTATTTTAAATGTATCAATAGACAACATCTGCATACACAAATACATATTTTTCATCTGGAATTTCTGAGATTACTAGTAAAGTAGCTATGAACAATCTACAAAGGAAACTCTTTATTCCTGATTATTCATGAGTCTCAATTTACATTCCTTTATCAGACACAAAAAAAAACAGTTCTAGTACTGCATATATACACTAATCTCTTTTCTTTTGAGGCCCTTTAGATAATTAGTAATTGAAGTATTTAAGAACAGAGCAGCTAATCCATTACATTCTCCTTTTTAATCCCCATTTCAGAAGTATAGTTAATACAGCTACTGGAAAAAAATGTGTTGAAATCTTAATTACCCAAGTTTTCGCTATTTCCTGCTGCTGCTTTACATTGAGACCAGTGAATAATTTGCTTTGGAGCATCTTCTGGAGATACAGCTGTGCCATCTGGGTTAGCATAAAACAACAACAGTGGTTGAAAGTGACATCGAATGCACCGGGAGACCACATCTTTCCATTTTGTTCCGATCTATAAAAAAAAAAAAAATTTAAATAATCCAAACAAAACAAAAAAAAAAAAAAAAAATCAAAACACCCCCCCCCCCCCCCGAACTTTATCATCATCATTGAACCCAATTATGGAAAGAATAATTTATTAGCAATTCCAATGCTTAATTCCAAAGGTACATTAAGATTCAACATCTGTCACAAGAATTTATGTAAATTGCAGAAAAAAGCCAGAACCTGTATTACATGGGCTAACAACCACATCAACATTGTGAATACTGCTGCCAGTAATAAGGGCTTCTTTTTCATTAAAAGAAGCACAAATATGATTAACTGTAGATAAATTCATTAATATTCTGAAATAGTTGGTATTTGGAAGGAAGAAGTGGAAAATAGTGAAATCAATTCTAAAACCTGTGAAACTCAATTTACAAAACTAAAATTTAATTTTATTGAAGATATTTGTTTTTCTTGTTTCAAGTTTGGTGTCAGAAGAACACATTAAAGTAAAGATCATGAAACTGGGTAGCAGTAAAACAAGTATTTACCTCTTTTACATTTGCATCATCAAACAGCACCCATTTGCAACTCTTGGTGTGAAAGGCAAAGGCACAGTAATGTCTGCTTGTGTAGCAAATCATTCCCACTAGAAAAAGTTCACTATTTTTGGCATTTTCATCTGTAACTCTATAAAACAGCTATAAAGATGGTTATATATTTCAAAATGTGTAAAACATTTACACTCAGTTTTTAAACCTACTACTGGCATTTCAGCGTGACAACTGGTATTAAATACACTGTTGCATTATAGAATTTTTCATGAGTAAAATAATGATTTTTGTATTTATTAGATCTATTTTAATATTTATTTTTGCATAGTTTGATGGGTAAAACAATAATGCTTTGAAATAATTCCACAAATGTCAAACTGGACATAATATTCCTAGATTTTCAACTAGGAATTCATCTACATTAAATGCTGTACCTAAAAAAAACTACACTTCTGACTGGACTTTTTCCTCTCAGACACTAAGTTAAACAGCACATTACAAAATGGTGAAAATAGACATGAACTTTGAAGTTAAATTGTTAAAAAAAAAAAAAAAAGAAAAAGATATGTATATATTTATTTTTACTATATTTACATATACATAATACACATGTAAAATAAAAATCTAGAATGAGCAAATAGTAAGTCTTAGATCAGATACCCCAGGAAGATAAAGTTGCGTTGCCAGATTCCGCATAACCTCTTCTGTCAGATCAGAGTGTTCCGAATCCCAGACTAAACCGATTGTGACAATTTCAGGACAATTCATAAGAACACGGCGAATTTTTATTTTTTGACCACAGTTACTCTAGAAAAAGGGAAAAAAATGCGATGGGAGGGAAAACAAAGATGTTTGAAAAAAATGTAAGTCCGAAGTTGAGTTACTAGACAAGAAATAGTGCAATAATACAACTCTGCAGCTTCTCAAATTATACATTCAAATTCTCAAATTATGGTGTTTGTTTCTAACAATTTAAGGATAAAATTCATGATAAAAACATCCTCTGATGAAGACTACAGCTAAACTTCCACATCCAATCACCACCTTAAAACAGAAACCTCTAAAACATCTAAGTCACCATGACATTTTCTCTTTTGTTCCGCACCCGTTTAATCATTCAAGCTTAACTCTGTTCTTGTGTACTTTCCTATGGTTCCTAAATTAACAGTATTTATGCAGAGAAAGAGATACATTACACAGAATAAGCTAAAAGAGACTATTTTTGTCAACAGAATCACACAATTATTCCAATTAGAAGTTAATGTTGTTGGGCAGTGTATATGAACTACAGCAGCTTCACTCTGGAAAATACACCTGTTCCAATTAACCAGGCTGAACATGAACTGAGGAATAAAACACAAACCTAGTAACTCAACTGTCTAAACAGGCCATCTGCACCTACATACCATGTTTATTTGTAACTGGAACAATAAAATATAAATTTAAATAAAATAGAATTTTTTCCCCTAAGTTGGGCTGTGTAGAAGTGGCCACAGGTAATCCTACTTTTCAGGGAATACTTTAGTCCGATGTATTATCTTAGAAAGTTGTCCCTTGTATCTTGAAGTAATGCATGTAATGAAGTATCTTTGTTTACTTACAGGACAATTTCTGTAGTCATCACTAGTATTTGCTGCCTGCAGCAGTTCCGCAAACATTTCTGGCTTGAGACGTTCATGCCTCTCCATCATTCTTTCTACTTCATTACTGTTAAAAAAATAAATGGAAATAACTGTTGATATCCCTTCTTAAGAGTTAAGAGATTTCAGTCAAATCTCAACTATATCTTTTGACTAAAAAGGAAAGATAAAGTGGTAAAATGGTAGCGATACATACTTTTTGTCAAGTTCTCTCTGAATCTTAGTTTTGAAATTCAAATGTTACTTTTGGACCATATCTCAAATAAACATTTCAACAAAGGAACAAACATCCATTTTTAACAATTACAGCATTTCTCTGACATGCTTTGCTTATTCTTGAAAGGGTGTATATAAAAAACAATATACGAGAATAAAAGCTCTTACCACAGGGCTGTGGTAGAAATATAACGTACAAATTCCGTAAAAGGCAATGGATCTGATGATGCTCCGCAACTACGACATACACACTACAAAAATAAAAATATTTTTATTTACTCAGGACAGTGGAAACCAATTGTTTGTTAAAGAAATCAAATAAAGGTCTGACCTGTTCATACAGTGTCATAGCAAACTTCTGATGAGAAATACAGGATTTTGAAGTGCACATATCTGTTTCACTGTTTGGCACTAAGTGAAAATGGATCCTCTCAAGGATGTTTTCCTAAATAGAAATAATAATGTAAATATAAACTCAACTGGTGAAGTCAGAATATAGGAGCAACATTACAGTTTAATACTCCAACTACTCCCCTTGGCTCCAAATAGTCCACCTGTAAGTTTAATGTGTATTTAATTCCCTTCCTATTCACAGTCCAATGAGAATTCTCTTCATCTCAAGGTTTCCATTCATGAATAAAACAGCATAAGACAAGTTATGCACTTGTTCTTCGAGTGCATTCTTCTTTGGAGGAAGTGCATAATCAAGAAAAAATTAAAAAGCTGTTCTTACAGTAAGATATGGTATTAATGTCACCATGCAATAGCTGAAATGTTTTTTTAGATTAGGCCTCTGTCTCAGTTCTTCATGGTTTTTTGTATGTATGTGAAAACCCATCTATCAGGTAGGTATCCATCTGTGGATACTCACATGAATGTCCAAAGCTGAAAGTATTCAAAGCAGTAACTATATTTTCTGTCCCTCAACTTTGTGCCTGAAGGTTAATAGTGATATATTTTTTCATAGAATCATGGAACCAACTAGGTTGAAAAGACCTTTAAAATCATCAAGTCCAACCATCACTCCAGGACTGTCAAGACCACCACTATACTGTACCACTGAGGGCCTCATATACATAGTTTTTGAAGCACTTCCACAGATGGTGATTCTGTCACTTTCCTAGGTAGCCTGTTTCAATGCCTGACCACCTTTCTCCGTGAAGAATTTTTTCCTAATATACAATCTAAACTTCTCCTGGCGCAGCTTGAAGCCATTACCTCTTGTCCTATCCCTTGTTACTTGGCAGATGACGCTGACCCCCATCTCACTACAAAGCCTCCCTTCAGGTAGTTGTAGAGAGTGTTCAGGTCCCCCCTGGAGCCTTCTCTTCTTCAGTCTAAAACAGTTGTCTCAGCTGATCCCTGCAAGACTTATGCTCCAGACCCTTCACAAGCTCCGTGGCCCTTCCCTGGACCTGCTGGCACCTCAATGTCTGTCTTGTAGTGAACTACACACAGGATTTGAGATGCAGCCTCACCAGTGCCAAGTACAAGGGGATGATCACTTCCTGGCCCTGCTGGCCACACTATTTCTGATACAGGTTAGGATCCTGACTGGCTGCCTGGGCACAAGCTGGCTCATGTTCAGCTCCGTCTATCAGCACCCCCCGATCCTTTTCCACCAAGCAGCTTTTCAGCCACTCTTCCCCAACCCTGTAGTGGTGTATGGGGTTGTGGTTCAAATGCAGGACTCAGCACTTCACCTTGCTGAACCTCATACCACTGGTCACAGCCCATCAATAGACCCTGTCCAGATCCCATTTTATTTTAAATGATCCCATTTTTTTTTTAATGCTGAACAATTTTTATAGTCTAACAAAGGACTTCTTAGAAAGGCCTCTTTACCAGTGTTCTACACGATTTTCAGTCATCTTCAATTGCAACAGTAATGACTCATGTTTTTCAGGGAGACACTTCATGCAAGAGTCAAGATCTTCACGTGTTGGTTCATTCTTGGATAAGAAAATGGAAATATCTTCCGCAGAAGACTTTAGAAACAAGATGGCTAGTTGCAATGGGATATATTTCAATAACTGATGAAAGAATGCTTGGAGGAACAGTCTATATATTCAAATCCATAGACACCTCTTCTCCCTCGAAGAAAACCCTTCTCTCCATTCAAGAGCTTTCAGCAGTAACTGAGAGTTCATCATCCTCAATGACCTCCTGTAGTAACCACATTTCACATATCCCTCTGCCCAAGAGAGTTAGGGAGTACGGAGCAAATGTGAGATTACCCCACATTACCAGACACTTTACTCCATGTGCCTGTTCCCCTAAACTGGCATAAAGGAGGTTTGTAGTATTACATCACTTGTATCCCACCTGTGAGCCTGGCGTGACAAAACAAGCAGCCAGCTTGGCATTCACAAAACTAACGTAATTCTACTCAGCTATTACAAAGAATACTTAACGAAGCATTCTGCTGCATCATCCATGAATCCAAGCTGGAAACGCTGTTCATCCTTAAAACTTTCTGCCAGGGCATGTCGCATATTATCTGATGGGAGTGCTTTTTCTCGACTGTGTTGAAACTGTGAAAATATTGCCTAGAAGGAAGTACGATTACTTAGCTTTAGTAGTCATTTGACTAGACATTATAGTTCTACACAAATACACCAGTTCTTACACAGCATGCCTAAGCAGCAAATATTGTAAATGTTTATTAATCTATGCAACTTTAGAAGCTACCACTGTATTTTAAGGTTACATAGGTACCTTGTTCTGTTCCATATTCCATTATATGCTACCAAACTTAACTTAGATCCAATAGGAAAACAACACAGAAGCATACAGAAGTGCAACTAGTTGATCCCCAGAAGCAACACAAGCCCTAGTCCATAAATGTACAGCTTTTTTAATGCTATTTCTGGAATAGCAGTTCATGCATACATATCTCATCTTTACAGATGATGTGTATTTCTTGGGGCATAATGTAATGCCACTCAGATTAGTTTAATGCCCATCACTTATAAAGTAACAACTACAGACAGGATTGTATCTTTATTTAAATTATGGATATGAAAAAAACCTCACATAAATTAGACAGAATGCTTATAATCCTTGCTCAGCTCTCTGCTGAACCAGTGCACACAGTACAAACAGAAAAGGTTAGCATCTGCAGATCCAGAACATGAGGATGAATTGCACTTGATTTTTTATTAATTTCCCAGAAGAGGTAGTTGGCTGCTACTACTCTTCCTGGCAGAGATATGTATGCAAGTGCCTTTATCATTTAGCAAGTAAGGGAGGTCGATTTTGAAAAAAAATGGAATTTAAAAGACCTTAAACAAATGAGAAACATTTGCAGATATTAAAGGGTGTATTCCACTGTCAAGAATTTTAAGTCAAAATTTTGAAAAAAAAGAAGAAGAGAATAAAGACAAAACAAATAGAAAGAAGACATGCGAAATATAAATAAAGATCTGCATTTTTCACATATGCCTTAGTTAAAAAAAATCTGTTGGACAGAAGGCAAAGACACGAGAGATAAGCCAAGTTTCAGTACTAACACAAAGTAGTGTTTTAACCCTGATTCGTTCCAGGGTGTCTGTCAAATATTTAAACTTCCCTCTGTAACATATACTACTCATAAAAATTACAGTTGGTATCTCATGTAAACATTCAAAATTAAGTTTTAAACAGATCTGGTAATACAAGTTAACTCTGCTTTTAAAACTTTTATCACTTCTCTTTTTGGCTGGTAGGTCATTTTTTGTCTGCAACAGAGCCTTACATGTCCAGATTTTAAAAAAGTACAGATAAGGAGTTATGCAGATATGTATGCTCATTTTAGTGGCCTGCATTGTCCAATTTCCAGTGTTATCCAGAAAAGAAAAGAGCATATTGAATTTCTGAAAGAAAAAGATAAATGGATTGAACTGAAGGAAACCGGAAGTTATTGGCTATGCAGTTTACAGGAAAGGCCAATTTACATAAAATAGCATTCTTTTCTGGGGAACAAGAATGGTTAAAATAGCCCAACACCACAAAGAAAAAAACCCCAACCCAAAACCCCGCATTAAAACCAGAAAACAACCCAAGTTACCAAAAAGCATCTTCATCCAGTATATACACTGCGTGAAAATCAAAACACCCCAGGTTCTGAACACAGAACAAACAGAAACACTCAACCAGTATCTCTAAAAAGCCAAGAAAGAAAAATCAACAGCTGACATAATGACTGAGGACAGATACTTCCAAATGTGTTAACCACAATGTTTTGAGCTCAGTACCTAGGCTACTGGCCATGGAGTTATAAAGTGTTCAAGGCCAGGCTGGCCAGAGCCTTGGGTGACATGGTTTAGTGTGAGGTGTCCCTGCCCATGGCAGAGGGGTTGGAACTAGATGATCTTAAGGTCTTTTCCAACCCTAACTCTTCTATGATTCTGTACTATTAAAAAAATAACTAATTCCATTTTAACCAATTTCAGGACAGGCAGCAATACTACTGTTTAACAGCATTCTTAGGAATGGATCAAAATAAGAGGATTGTCCAGGCAATACAAAATATTCAGGTACAGTAAGCTGTTTAGATAAATCACACACGGAGATGCATAATGGCAGTAAGCAATCCCTCAAAAACAGATACTTGAAAGAATAAAGAAAATTTCAAGTCCTCAATTACAGCTGCCTTATGAAGCAACTGAAGATAGTGTATTGCTTTGGAAAGTGACTTCAAGTGAAGCAAACCTTAAACTTATTTATACTGGAACCCAAAAAAATACACGGAGAGAGGACATTAAGGTACAGCAAGTGGTATGTTCTGCTTGAAAAAAAAAGCAGCACCTGGTCTTCACAAGAGCACCCTTAGAATAGAGCAACTCCTTACTAACAGGTTCAATTGCAAAACACCACACTTCCTTCTTCATGTTTGAGCACACTGAAGTGGCTACATTATTTTTACTATGATTTCAGCTATATGATTAGTCATTAAGACTATGTAGTGTAACACACACATTCCAGCAATTGCCATGCACCGATTCATCTTCATTTCTTAAAGGTGGTTACAGCGCAACTTGGAAGACTGTGTATGAACTTCACATGTAATATGGGTCAAATCAAAAGGAAAAGATCATAAAATTTATTATGTATTACGATATCAGATACAGACATGAATCTCTGGACAACACAAAAATCTTAGAAAACTGAAGATATAATCCCAAGACAGACACAGATTTTTTTCTGAAAATGCAGGAATGCCTGAGTTATGATCTGGACTTTATGTACAAGTAACACATTTCAGTCTGTGAAACTCCCCAAGAATAAAGTCGAAAATACTTGGTTTATTCTCACCTACAATTTAGCACCATCAAAAAACCACTTCCTCAGTTAGCTACATTTTCAAATAATGTTTTCCTTCCAAGCTCCCTCCAGATGAACAGTTCCCAGTTCTGTATATTACTATATCTACTACTGTATTTAAAGAATACTCTACAGCCCTGTATAGGAACTCCAGAAGTGTCTTTATTTTCAAATTGCAGTAAAAGTAGAAAGCACATACTACTAAAAACATACCCGTGTTTTTTCACTGGTATTTATACCCAAATGAAAGAGAGATGCTTGCAGCTATTTCCCTAGTAACTGCAGACAGCCAAAGCAGTAAGAACATAACAGAATTTGACAGAATTCAGATGAGTTAACAAAATGGTTTGAAGCGTAAGCTTTATGCACTAGTAAAGATATGCAGATCTGACTTACTTTCTACACTAAACACAAAAAAGGTACCAGCTTTCATTAGTTTTCCAGTATTATTACCTTCCTTTCATTACTTCTAACTGAACAATTATATTCTCCACCGTCATCATCAACTACAGAATAAAAAGAACCTTCAGCACTTAACAGACAGTAATATAGTTATTGTAAAAGAACTGTTTTCAAACACTACAGGAAAGAAGAAAAGCATATGTACAATATGCACATAAAAAATATCTCCAAGAGGCTAGCTAGAAATTTTCAAATAAGTCTGTCTTTAAATAGGAAGAAAGTTTTATGTATAAGCAGACAAATTTTTGTACTGTAAAATATCTTCTTTAAACACAATTATTTGTTTCAAGCATCCTTAACTCTAAATTGTATATTCACACAAGAATGACTTAGTCAACCAGACATATACGTGATAGGAATATAAATTTGTGACAATTACTTATTTTTCCCTCATTTTGAAAGATAAGTCTTCCAAAAATTATTCTTTACCTTTAAAGCACAAAATATGCATGCATCTCCCTGGCACACATGTCCAGTTAAACCTCTTAAACTTCGTCGAAATACGTCAAGCTGCCACAACACCTATAAAAATAAAGTTTCACAGAAGTAATGAATTCTGAAAGTTCTATGTTTAAAACAATAACATACAGTAATATACTTTTTGTTTGTTTTTTAATTTCACATAATGTACAAGTAGAGCACCACACTGCTACAAGAATTATAGTCCTTTTCCATTAGCTTGGTGAATAGTGGAAATGCAATTGCATTTACAACTCAAAATTTAGGTCTGTTTGAACTTTGTGAAACAATGGCAGACCATGTGTGGAAAAGGAGGTGAAGCACTCTTAAGGAAACAAGTAGCAAGCTAAACTGCGTACAGAGATTCTAAGACTTCTTACGGCTTTACAAAAGAGGAAGGTAGCTATGGTTCTCTCATTCCCTCTCCCCTCTTTTGTGCTTTCTTTCAAATAACAAATAAAAAATATGAAACTGAACTATTGGGTAAAATGCAAGCATTATTTTGGGTTAAATCTATACTACATTCTTATGGTCTGTTACTAGAATGATTGCTGTGATGTATTTGTTTTTCCACATATCAAACTAACCCTGGGGCTTAAACAGGTGTGTTTCTACTTTTTATTTGTGTAACTACTCTTTATAAGGGTAATGTCAGCTTGGCTACACACACTACTTTCAGTAGCTGATGTCTTAAGTACATAATCTGTGCAGTAGTTCAGAAAGTTGCAAATTAAAAAAAAAAAAACAAAAAAACAAAAAAAGAAACAAACCTCCTCCTCCCCCTCAGAATTAAATTCCAAGAGGCACAGTAACAAATGCATGTCCAGGTAAAAAACCTCAATCCTATCTATAAATATAAAATCTAAAACTAATTAGGATGCATTTGAAAATTAGTATCTGAAACTCAGTTCTAAAGGTCGAACGTAAGTTAGAAGTAGCACATTCCTCCTTGCAAAACAGCAGTCACCAATCAGCAACAGGATGTGAAGTAGCAGGATTCTCTGAAGCTATAACTAAAAATTACTTAGAATTTAATTTTAGGTCACTCTAAGTGAAAACAGCAAAACTGCAAGAGAAAATAAGTCAGGCTGCTCCCACTGAACGTAAAACAGCAAACTCTTTCTACTAAATCTATTACACGTATTTTAAGCGCATGCAGATGCTATACACATCACGTAAAGATCTTTTCAATTTCCTACGTTTAAATACATACTGTTTTTAAGAACTAGAGTGTTGTGGTTTTCTTTTGAAGGAAACCAATGCAGCTATTTATAGCCCTTGCCAGTTTGGTAAATAATTCTGTACAATTTGATAACAATTAGGTCCAAAGTTTAAGCATTACAAAAAAGTACTTTGTTCTGCTCTTTATTTACAGAGTCTAGAAACTTGCTGCTGTTAATTTTGAAATTTAAAAAAAGACTACAATATAAACTTAGTTATTCACGGTATACCAATTTGCAGGCTGTATAAAGACTAGCATTGCTCTGTCGGAGAATTAAGTAGATCCCTATATTCCCTGTCATAAGTGGGCTTGTAAAATACCAATTTTTCACCAGCTATTGTTGCTATTCCCAAGAGATCTGACGAGCCACTATTTTTTCAATTTCTGCTCAGAACAGTATGTAAACAAACACATGCAAGAACTTGGCGAGTAATAAATATGCATATAAACAGTAAAAGAAATCTAAATCACATTTCTTTGGTATCAAGTTTATCTCCTACTCTAACTCATAGAATCATAGAATGCTTAGTGTTGGAAAGGACTTTAAGATCATGTAGTTCCAAACCCCTTGCAAGGGGCAGGGAGACCACAAACTAGACCATGTCGCCCAAGGCTCTATCGAACCTGGCCTTGAACACTGCCAGGGATGGGCCATTTATCACTTATTTGGGCCACCTGTTCCAGTGCCTCACCACCCTCACAGTGAAGAACTTTTTATATCTAACCTGAACTTCACCTGTTTCACTTTAAACCCATTCCCCCTTGTCCTATCACTACAGTCTTTCCTGTTAAAATCAAAGCTTTCAGCTATATGTGCATCTTCTAATATGTTCCAAAACAACAGGCTTGTGCTAATTTTGAGAAGAGAGTATTTTAATAAAAACAGAGTCCTATTCAATACAAATAGTAGTACTGACTGCCCCACATTAAAAAATATCTCAGATTTTGATAGGTAACAAACTTACATTTGACAGAAACATTAGTTTAAAAATTCAGCAGCAAGTTTTAAAGTTAATGAGTCATGAGTTTCCAGATACAAAATGGAAGTTTTTCTGATATTCTTAATGCATGCAAGCAAAACAACACTGTATTTTTTTGCAAAATTAAATACTTAATACTCAGTCAATGTCTTGAAATTAAATATTAAATATGATTACTTCCATGGAGTAATCTTTTCTACAATTGCCACATTTCCTTCCTCCCCTTGCCTTAGGAAAATCCATTCCATACAGACATGCTGTTCTGTCTCACTTGGAATCATTAAGGAGTTTAACCAAGAACTGAATTTAACACTACTGAAATTTCCTGTAGAATATGCATACTGCAATATGAATTATAAGAACAGCATTGCCAAAAGAATCCTTTCCCTACTGTGACCATCTAAGCTGCTATAAAAGCAAAACTGTTAATAAAATAAGTTTTTTTCTTACCTGAACAGCACTATTAAGAAAGCAGCTGTTTTGTCCTGGTTCATTTAATAAGCCTTTTGTAGGGGCCAGGGACAGTATACTTCCAGGCTGATAAACTCTTCCAAGGTTACCTCCAGGTTTTCTTAAGAATTTCACCCATGCCATTATTTTTTAGTCTTTCTAACTGCAATATTTACACTTAAATAATTAAGGGTACAATGGGTGCAAGGCAAAGAAGGAGGTCCTATGAGAATTACTCTAAAATCATGGCATTCCATTCAACTCTGTGCAACAGTAACCACTCACGGGTTTAAGTCCATTTCTAGGAGCTGCTGTCAGCCATCTACCATGATCAGTGTCTCAGTCAAAATACAGATATATAAAAATTTTAACTCTCAGACTTAAAGAAAACCAAAAGGTGTCCAGTTAAGTTTAAAACATGTGAAAAAGTTACCAGAAGTTCTTATTAAGCAAATAGCACAGTAACTGACTTCTCCTTCCAGGGATATCAATTAAGTATTCCTATAAATCACCAGCTGTATTATATTTAAAAAATGGAAAGTTCTTAACAGTCGTTATATTCCTGTTCTCTCATTTTGTTCCATCTTCTTTTTACTTTTAACTGTGACCCATGAAATACATTCCAGTTTAGAAGACTCCATGTTTATTTCATTCTCTTTCCAGTGAACCTGAAATAAGAAAGAAAAAAAAGAAAAAAACCCAGAAAATATAAAAATACAGTTTCCAAAAGGTTAAATCCTCCAAGGTCAGGAAAGGGATCATGGGCAAAACAACCTCCTAACCTAAAGGTAGGTGCAACAACAACCAGGGAAGAAGAAAAGAAACAAGTACCACCTAACAGTTGCTTTAAAGGCAAAAAAAAAGTTATTTTATGTCATAATCATTTCTCTTCTAACTTACTAGACACCTCTAAAAACCATGATAATTACTCTAATAGTCGTGCTCATGATATGCAACTGCTTATAAAAAGAACACATATCACATGAATTTTCTGTCTCTGAATCTCCAAGGCTAATAAAAAGATTGCCAAGAAATATTTTTATCCAATACTTAAAAGCCTAAGACGGTTTTGATTTCAATATCCTATCAAATCTCACAAACCAATACATATTTCTGTGACTGAGGATTACTAAAATATACAGACTGTCAGCTAATACTCAGCTTTCAAAAATTTGTATTACATAATAAATACCACATAAATACTTTATTAGCCTGGTTGTATTCTTAAAGCATCCTGAAAAACATAGCAAATAACAAAGCAAGAATATTCCAGTAGATGCCCCAATAACTGATTTCTAAGATTTTCAAATTACAGCAGTAAGTTGTTTCTCTTACTGCTGAAGGTGCATGTTTAAGGCTAAATGACTCATCATCCAAATCATCGCAGGCATATGTAAAGCCCATGCAGTCATCGCCTCACAACAATGGACTGTTCAATCAGTTTAGCATAACTATTTAATCACTACACAAAAATTTGAAGTAACTGCACAGAGCAGAATAAAGTTAAAGGAAAGCAATAAAGGCTGCATATTTATGGAGAGGAAAAAAAAAAAAAAAAAGGACTGAAATTATGGCCTCACATAACCACCAAGATATTCACTTAAATTTTATAAACATGTGGAACATGCAGACTTTTCACTGTAATCTTTTTCAACTGTGCAAGCCTTTCAAGATTGGTCAGCAGCATTAAGAAACAAAAATAAAGTTTCTAACTGGAACACTGGATAAATTAAAAGATCACTTTCCCCAGCTCAGAACAACCAACAACACATTAGCAAACAGTTCTATGACTCTTGATTATTGTACAGTTGGGATACCACAGAAAAAAATCGCATGACTTCCAAAAATACTTGCAGGTAATCTTGCATCCCTAAAACTATTGCCCTTTTATTTAAAAGAAACATTGGTACTTGCCTGCATTATAAAAAATAAATAAATAACAATATACAAAAATCACTAACTGGAACCTAACCAAAAGTCCCTTCTGCCCCACGCATAATCAGATGTTTTTGTTTGTTTACTGATGTTACTGTACCTCACCCATAAGTAATTTGATGTAATAATACTGGAATTATTAAGTGTGATTTGTGACAGCCCTGAGGAAGAAGTCTTCAACCTAATTGGAAACAGACCTTGACAGAAAATCATGTGGTAATTTTGTTTTGTTTACTTCAATAAACCCAGAAAGTAAAAAAAAAAAAAAAGTAGCGAGTAACTGGAAACGCATATTAGTTTAAGATCCTACTCAAACCTTAATTAAAAGGAGTATCAATTTCCAATTTTTTCCCCCCACATAAAAGTCAAAGTGCTCCACAGCGTAACACCCATTTTTCTACAAAGGGCCAAACTCTACGAAAATGGGGACAGAGGTGAAAGTAAGAGTAAAACAAAGATAAGCACAGAAAAAGATGAAAGATTCTCTGAGGTCAGGTATGCAGAAGTATTCACATGATATCTGTACAGAGCAATTAAAGGGAAGAAAATATTTTCACAAGTGTTTTCATTTTAAAGTTTCAGTACAGTACATTAATATAAAACAATGAATCAATACAGTAAAGATAAAGAGGAATCAAGTAAAAAATGTAAGGTGTATAGCTGTTTGTAATCAGATACATATATACGAACACATATAAAAAAAAATGTATTCAAGAAGCTAATACCACACATCAAAAGCACTTCGTAATATGAAGCATCATTTGGCCCCAAAAGTCTCCTGCCTTCACAGGGAACAATAACTTTTAACTGCTAAGGATAATGGGATAACGTCAGAAATATACCTAAAAAAAACCAAACCAAACACCCCCCCCCAAAACCTCCAAAAACCCAAACAAACAAAAAGCCAAAAAAACCCCAAACAACCCAGAAGAATCTTACATTCAACTATTTCAACCACCAAATACTTTCTACTGATTTTTGATTTAGTATTTCTCTATTCATATTGAAAAACTGACCCAATATATTTTTGTCAGAGAATGAACCTTCCTCTTGACATACTAGAAAAGCTGCTTGAGCATGCACTTTATTGGTGATATACAGGGTTTCTGATTCCACTTTATATAATTTCCCATATGGAAAATTGTGTACCGTTTTCTCCACCCTCCTGCTCCTGTCCCAGAAGACAAAACTGATGTTAAGATGAACTATATTTGGTAATCAGCGATGTCAAGATGGGTACAATGAAGAGGAAAAAACAGGAAAGAGACTGGACTGGAACAGTACAGATGGCCTATGCTACACATAAAGGTGTGAAGTGTATTTGCATGCCAATGCATGCTTGAGGTGTCCCTCATTGTGCTCTTACCTTTACGAGGGCAAGAGCAACAGGATCAAAACAGTGAGGCAGAAACACCAGGCTTGCTGTAAAGTTTCCCAACTGAATACACTACATCCCTCATCTCCAAAACTGCTTATGTACTGGTACCCCACCAACAGCGGCAATTCAGCAAACCTGTTGCCTGCTGTCTTGTGTTCCATGTAGAGATTGGTTAGCATACAGCAGCCAAAATAAGGGAGTTCTTCCAGAACCATTTAAGACAAAGAGTATTCAATCGCTAAGAACTCCTAGAAAGTAATTTTGTCTTGCATTTCAGGGATGCTTGAAAGTATTGTGTATAGTTCTGGTGTCAACTTAAAAAGGACATGGAGCTGCTGGAGAAGTCCAGAGCAGGGTCATGAGGAGAAGGGAGACTGGAGCACCTCCCATACAAAGACAGGCTGAGAAAGCTGGGGCTGGAGAAGAGAAGCTGCTTGGACACATCAGTGCAGTCTTCCAGTACCTGAAGGGGGCCTATAAGGATGCTGGAGAGGGACTCTTCATTAGGGACTGTAGTGGTAGAACAAGCGGTAATATGTTCAAACTCAAACAGGGGAAGTTCAGGTTAGATATAATGAAGTTCTTTACTGTGAGGGTGGTGAGACACTGGAATGGGTTGCCCAAGGAAGCTGTGAATGCTCCATCCCTGGCAATGTTCAAGGCCACGTTGGGCAGAGCCTTGGGGTGATATGGTTCAGTGCAAGGTGTCCCTGTCCATGGCAGAGGGGTTGGATCTATCTGATCTTAAGGTCCTTTCCAACCCTAACTATTCTATGATTCTAAGCATTTACCTGCTGGGCTGGGTTTCAAAAAAGTTAATCATTCACTGCAAAAAAAATAAAAATAATAATTAAAAAATAATTAAAAAAATGGTTCTGGGTTATCTCTATGTTACTGTCACATTTCATTATGGTGCTGTTTAATTTCACATCCTCAAAGCTGTGAATACAAATAATTCCAGCTATTACACCAGGCAAGTGCACAAAATCTTATCCTAAGAAATTGCAGGATACATTCATTGCACAGTTTTCATATCTGGACCAGATATTAATTTTCCAGAGCACTGATATTTTATTCATATGGCCTCTGTTAAGTACACACATTAGTACACCTTTTCCTGAAAATTTAAATACAACACCAGAAAGATCAGAAGCTATTTAAATATTATTTCACTCCAATCATCTTAAATTACTTTTTCTACAAATTAATTCATTAAAGTGCATAGGTCAAACTAAACATACTTCCCCTGCAACAGTTCAAACAATCCAAATATATACGTAAAAGCAAAAAGGGCATGTCAGAAAGGTATTCCATCTAAAAGATCTCTGTACTTCTCAACTAGAACTTCGCACCAAATGGGCATTCCAGTCCCCCTACTATACTCTTTTGCCCCCCAAATGGTCATTGAACCCAAGAAACAGACAGAAGCTGTGAAATAATACTATCTTGACACAGAGTTCTCTAGAGGGGCACTGTAGATGAGCCTTCCAATGGTGCCATAGGTGATGTGACTAACTTGTCATCCATTTGTCATCACAGCCGTAAGGAGACAAAGTTTAGACTAGCATCTTAGTTTTAAATTTACAACATGCAAGCATATCAAAGTCCGAGTTTGTTTAAAAAAAAAAAAAAAAAAGGAAAAGAGGAAAGACAAAAGCCAAAAAATCAAAGAAAGTTATTGCTGAAGACACTGGCAAGGATGTATACTCTAGTCACAAAGAGTATTTTTTTGTCTGCTGACAAGCCTACCCTCAACTGTAGGCAGTTCCATAAACCAGAGTAAAGATGATGCTGATCAACCTTGGCTCCTTCCACCTCCCATAATGTTTGGCTGAGCTTTCAAATGATTGGGACCGAGACCACTGACTTCCTTAACTCAAATTCAATACTTCACAGTATAATCAGGAACTTCAGACTATTCTTACATGTCTGTGGTAAGCCTACTAAGCACTAGCATTTATTAGCCACTAGGGTTTACTAGTTCTTTGCAAGTTCCTGGCTTGGCAAAGGTGTGGGTCCCTAACAATAGCTTCTAAGTCACTGAACCACACATAGTCTTCAGTAGGTGCAATCTCCCAGGAAAGGTTATTTCACATAAATGTAACTGACATGCTACGCAAGATTTTTAGCAGCTAATAGTTAAAGAAATATTCTTGCCCTTCAGACTAAAGGGATCAGTTTTGGATGACTGTTTTCCAACCAAAAGGGCTATGAACTCTCCAAATCAACATTCATTTAAAAGCCTAAATTCTCCTACCTCACCTACCTCTGAAGAACAGACACTGTTCTTCAGTCACCAATGTTCTCAACAAGCACATGGCTACCTTTTGTTGTGCAGCCTTACAGAACAAAATATATGCCTGTCACAAATTTCTGGCCACTTGCCTCTATAGCTTCTAGAAGAACAGACATGCTAGTCAGCAGAAACACACGTTACCACCACTTTTGCTGCTATACTCTAGCACACAAGTAACTGCAACCATCACAGTCTTTTCAGTATAACAAGTAATGTCACTGAATCAGCTTACAAATCAGCAGTCACTATTTTACCTAAACAAGGAACTTTCTACAAGCAGATGTAGGGTTAAGAATCTTTGATACTCATTTAGATAAAACTGTTGAGATAAACAGTTGAGATAAAGTCTGAATACTGATAGCTTTATGTCTCACAGCTGAGTTCTCATGTGGTTTTCTGCCTACTACTTTGGGATTTTGCCACCTCTGCTCCTTATTTCTTCTTACAGGGTCTCTCTCTTCCAGCCAACTGCCTGTTTTTCATGTACTTTCTAAGTATATTATCATTTATAAGACTTCCAGACCTTCCATCAAATCAGGTGAAAACTTGCAATGGGTTTGGAAGTTGTTGCCTCTGTGTATCTCTGAAATTTGTCTGAAGAATCATTATTTCCATCTTCTTAGCTTCATTTTGCAACTACCCAAAGTGTGTTGCATGACTACTGGCAAAGCTTTTTCATTCCCAATGCTAAGGTTACTTTCAAGCAACAGTTTCTTTGCTCCTGCTTGGAAGTTCACACCTCTGTGATGAGCCTGGCAACCTACTCAATGGTCTGACAACTGTAGTAAATCGATTTCTAAAGTAACGTATGTTAAAACTTAGGAATTTCAGTACAAAACAACAAAAATTTGGAAGGAAGAATGATTAAATGCATTACAATGTAATATGCTTATGATGGGAACCAGTTTTCTGCAGCAAACCAACATTATGGGAACTGTGATTACTCTCACTTTCTCAACAGAATGAAATCAATAAAAATTTCAAAAATGTGCAAGAATTCGACTGTTTTCCTCAACTCAGAAGTGTGTAATTTAAAATTGCCAAATTTGGTCAAGAACAAAAAATTTTATTTGTACTGTGATGGTATTTGAGAGTTCACTCAATTTTTTTGGTCCCTGCACAAATCCTGTCCCCTTGCACCTTTACCATCATGTTGAACTGTATATATCAGGAGATCTTTTTTGCCATAAGACACACCTAATGCTTTTAGTAATCAACATTCTTTATCTTTGAAAATTATACTATTCACTGCAAAAACTGACAAGGAAATATGTTAACATGCAAATTCTCACTATTTGAAACACCAGAGAAAATAACCTTCATTATTAGCACTTACATACAAGACACACAACATGAAACAAGAACGCCACGGTAAGACCAGGGCGGGGGTGGGGAGTGGGGGAAAGCAAATTATATTCCCGGCAATGACTATTAACCATTAGCCTTGATTTTGTGGGCCATCTGCAAGTATACTAGCCAGTGGTATTGGCCTGACACATTCTTTCTGCCTCCAGTCACTAACTTATTAAGTCCCCAAGAGACAAAAACGGTGTTTGATGGTTATCACTTCTAGAAATTCTTCCAACCAATCTCTGAAGATTTTAAACCCAGGTTTGGTTCTTTTTTTTTTTTATTTTGATGACCTCTTACTGTCTCTTCTTCAGCCCTGATCCATTTAACTGTTCCTCATATGCCAAACCACTACTCTTGTATGCATGATTCTTTGTATCCCTTCAAGATGGGAGAACCAGAAGAGTAGATGCTTTCCCAGACGGGTTTTGTGTAAGCACAGATTTTTATTTTTTTTTTTTAAACTGTTCCAATAAAAACTTTCCTGTTTGCATCAAAAACAAAACAACAGGTTCACAGCCCAGAATCTCTGGGCTGTCATAACTAGACAACAACTTTAGAAACAGCTACATTAGGAACTCTGAGTAAAGATCTCAAAGAGCACAAATTCCAAACCCATGACATGGGCCAGCATCTGCAGTGAATCATCACACAGAAACAACAGAGAAGATTTTTGTTTCTCCATCTTCCTATTCCTTTACAAAGTGCTTTGTTCTGAGACTACCATGTACTCTTTCTTGAACCTCAGAAAGACAGAAGGTATCTCTACAGTCGTAACTGTCACACTTGCCTACTCTTCCCAGTTAACTATGTCCATAAACTACAACCATACTTTCAGTTTTCTTTGTAGATGCTTGATCATGAACAGAAGTGTAAAACACTGAAGTTCTGTTCCTTCCCAAAAGGTGTTCTGCTTCTTAAGTTACCAGAAACAACATAACTGAGTTACAAGGAAAAGCCATATGAGCATAGTCTTCAAGGCAACCCGTATTTTATTAGTTTGACAAAAAAAAAAAACCCAACCCCCCCCCAAAAAAAAAACCAAACTGAATCATTACACTTCCTAAATTTCTTCATGAAAAATCTGTACAAGACCTACGCACCAATATTTCACTCAGCCCACACATCTAAAATTCTTATCCAGTCACTGTCCCTGTTACAGCCTCAACTCAAGTCTCACTGAACCTGGCTAACACCAGTTTGTTCCCGCTTAACCCATGAGGACAATTTTTAATAACTCTTTGAAAAGACTTCATTCCCATCACTACATCCCTCATATGACTGAACTGTTCTACTCTACCAAGAGGCATTAACCAAGGAAAAATCACAAAGTGTTGCTACTGAGATCTTAGGAAGCAATGTAATCAAAACACATAGTGCTAATACTCTGACCCTGAAGTCCTATGGGTCTCATACCCAAACAATTCTGTTAGTACATCACATACGTCCTATGACTGAGAAAGATCGTGCACTATCAACTTCTGATATTAAAGTGCTTATTTTCCTATTTTACTGTCAACATCCCACTGGTCCAGGATAACTTTTTACACAAGTAACTTAAAAAAACAAAACAAACAAAAAAAAAAAAAAAACCTAAGGAAAACAGTAAATATGCTTTACTTTGAAATAATTTGTTAGGGGAAGAAAGGACTATGTATAATTTGATAAGGATAATTAATTTACTTATAAATTACATTGTATATCGTTTATACATTTATATGACATGAGTTTTCACTATTTTAACATCTAAAATTACCCTTATACAAGAACAGAACCGTTAATAATAAAGTCAGAGGGGGAAGGGGATACTGCATCAGTCAGGCACAGTACTGTTTATGTGATTAAGTTTTTCTCTCTCAAAATAATCCTAGCAGCTTCAAAGTTAAGTAAGAAGGGATATTTTTTAATATATTTTTGCAGGTACGTGTAATGTAAAGCATTAAGTAGAGATATGAAAAACTCAGACTTATTGTGGGAATGGAAAAAATACATGTTGAAAGAGACATATTTCCTTTCAAAAGCTGATTTGAAATTATTTGCACTGAAAATCAAAGCAAGCAATAAACTTAAACTTAGATGAGAGGCTAAACATACAATTTGCATACATCTCCCTACATGCCTCGGAAATTCTTACCTGTACGAACACAGCAAATAACACAGCCTCTAAATTCTGTAAACTGATTAAAACGGCTCCATACTACCTGTACTGGCATTTCCTGTTCTAAACACCCTCTGAAAGCACTTCAGAGAAACCGGCTGATGGGCACGTGACTACCAAGTTAAACATTACGTTCTGGCTCTCACAGAGCCAACACAGGAGCGCACGCAGTCTCCACACGAAAACATCCCCATTTCAGGGGCAGGCTGTCCCCCGTTTACACAACCTACGGAACAGCGCCCGCAGCTCGCCCCGCGATCTGTGTGTGACCCTAACCTGGGCCGCCCACAGGCGGCTTCCGGGCCTCACGCCCATGAGGGCCCCTCCGCGGGTGGGCGCCGCTAGCCGGGGCAGGGGCGGGCGGCGTGTCGGGCTAGCGGGCCGGTCACTAGCTCAGCGCTGCACCCTGACCAGACGACAGTCCCCGCTTCAGCCCTCGGCCGCCCCTCGCCGGACGTAACCGCCCCAGCCGTCACCAGACATGCCGGCAGCAGATGAACGGCCCGCGGCGGTCCCGACGCCTGGCCGCTTCCGCTCGGCACAGCTCGCCCCATCTCGCTAAGGATAAGAGACAGACCCTACTCCCCATTCCCCAGTTCACGACTCGGGGGCCGATGCCGCTGCCTCACCTCCCGCCGCGCCACGAACACGACTGCCGCTTTACCCTCAGTGTCCGCGTCGCTTCCCACTCGCTCCGCTCTTCCGTTCTCCGCTCTTCCGCTCCCTGCTCTCTGCTCTCTGCTCTCTCTGCTCTCCCCGCTCTCTGCTCTCCCCTCTCCCCTCTCCCCTCTCCCGGCGGCAACTCCGAGCGCACCCCCACCTTCACACAAACTTTTGCTTCCCTCCTCCTCTCCCGGAGCCGCGCGCTCCTCCTCCCGTCTCCCGCCCACTGGTGCGTTTGCGCAATGAGGCGGCAGGCAAGCAGAGGGGGGGCGGGCAGGTAGGAGGACGGGCGTCTCTCTCACGGTATCCCGGATCTTCTTGAGCGCGTTCGGCGCCCGGAAGGAGATATCGCTGCGGCAGGACAGACGGAGGGGGCGAGTCAAGAGAGTGGCTGAAGTGGACAGACCAATCACAGCGCCACGCACTCGCTGGAGAAAACCCGGTAGGAGGAAATAGCCGCCCCAGCTGGAGTGCGGCAACGCTGCGCATGCGCATTGGGCACGCGGGAGACTTCCTCACGGGTGCTCGTGCTAGAAGGGAGATGGCGAGGCTGCGTTTTTGCGGTATGCTGAAGACAGAGGGCGAGGGCGAGGGCGAGGGCGAGGGCAGGGGCAGGGGCAGGGGCAGGGGCAGGGGCAGGGGCAGGGGCAGGGGCAGGGGCAGCTGCGGCAAGGTAAGGGGTTGCCGCAGCCCCTCCTCCTACATACCCCTTTCTATCAGTGGTTGAGAGTGCGGCTGTCTAAAGTGCCGTTGCGGTGGCACCCGAGGTAACTGGAGCAACTCTTACAGTCGTCCGGTCACAGCCCAGGAAGCCTCTGTTGGGGCCGTTCCAGACCGCAGGGTTTTCGAGTTAATAGCCCGTTAAAATGAACGAGGCAGCAGTTGTTTTCAAGGGCCCATTTCAGGATATCTGCCTACGCACATTGGGCTTTACTTAAGATAACCACAAAATAACACAGACACGGCAGTGTCTGGTGGGGAGAGGGCAGCTTTAAGCCAAACCCCAAACAAGTGTACATACACCTCAAAACTGTGTTGTGTTTGAGTTCCGTGTTACCCAGAAAAGTCCTGTATTACATGTATACCTACCCGAGGGTCATTGCCCCAGTCATGCTCCCTATGCTTTTTATCAGGTCTGTTATTTTTTTTGGGGGGTGGGGGTGGGTGGGTGTCCTTTTGTTGTTTCCCAAAGGAGTTAAATGTTGATGAAGACTCATCTTTCTTGTTGCTCAAGTAACTTCTGTATTGCATTATTGTAATCTTGTTTGCTGAACAAGGAGATTTCATTAACGTCATTTCTATGAGTATTTTAGGTATTACCACACCCAACATCAGTTCTTGCTGCATGCTGCTGAATCCAACTTTTTGTATTCTCTCTCTTCCTGTTACATTTTTTATGGTTTGGTGGGATTGGAGAAGTATATAAAAGCATGCTTACTTTTCCAGGAGCATCTCCTGTAATAGTAAATTGTTTCCATGTAAAGTTCCCTTTCTGTATCTCCTTTAGGTCATCCAGATTGCAATAACATTTCACTCCAGAACTGACTGTGCGGAATATGAGGCACTGCATCAAATTACTTCACTGCCTTATTTATATTGCACTGGTATTGCTTTTGTATCCATTTTCATTAAAAAAAAAATCAATTTTAATATGTTTTGATCAGATTAGTTTTGGTAGCCTTCCATTAGATTGCTGGTATGAAGATGCACACTGGCAAAGGCAATTTTCTCAGTTTCAGTCTCCAGTCAAGTGTCTGACTTCAAAAAGCTCAAAAGTTCTTTGGGGAGATTTTCATTAGCTTTTCCAGGCTTTTGTTACTTATGTATATATGTATATATTTATATGGTTGCATTTTTCAGTGAATTGGATAGGCCTATTCACTAATTGGAGTTACTTGATACAGGATTTGTATGAAGTGTTTTTTCTTGAGACTGTATGCTGGTAGTTGGCATATATATAGACACGTAGTCTTTTAACAGATACCCTGTTTACTTGCCTCTCACTTTCTGAAAAGTTTCCTATATTTGTGATTTTTGAAAGGAATTGAATATTTAATTTTCTCTTGGTGCTAAGATTCATACAGTATGTTGGCACAATGAGCATTCTGAGTGTTTTTCTATCATTCTTTTTTAGCTGTTTATTAATAAATATCTGAATTTCTAGTTCTCACTACAAATTTTAAGATATAAGCATGTTAAAGTTGGTATTTTAACATTACCATTAAAAATCCAGTTTTGTATTAATGTATATTGTTATTCTACATTTATAAGGAACATTCTGCTTTGGTTAGTATCAATTTAGTCCTTGATCCCTGCATTAGTACTTTGCAGTCAAGCAAAGGCATCTGTGGATCCCAAAGTGGGATTATGACCTCAATTCTGATTATGACCTTGTTTTGATATTCTTCCTCCTCCACGTACTCTGTTTTTTCTTTGCTTCTGGCCTTTCTTCAGTGCAGGTTTGTTTTTTACTGTTAATCTTTTAGGAGTCCCTTAGAATTTATATTGTGGGGGTTTGTTTCTTTTTTTCCTGTTCCTTTTTTTTTCCTCAGAGTAAGTGTAATCTGTGAGTTTTAATTATGGTATATTTTAAGGTTCCCTACCAGTGAATCTTGATAGCCTTCCACACAGTTTAGACAGCGAATGACGCAGGTGCAGCACAGGAAGCCCTGAATGGGGTAACAGATGAACTTTAAAATTAGAATAAATGGTGCAAGTACAAACCAACGTTACAAGCGCAAATGATTTCTTGTTGTAGTTATTGTCAGTACAGGATATGTGCTATGCATGATGCAGAAGAATGTTTATGTGGTGTTAGTACTGATGTTTATGTAAAGTTTGGCAGTGTTGGTAGCATAGATTGTTAAACTGGGTAGTTGAAAAGGCATTAAACTTGGAGGAGAGGGATCCAAAGTAAAATAGGCTTTTACAGTTCTACTCAGTAATCCAACCATTCAGATTGGCACAAGGCTAACAGGCCTATATTAGGATTTTCAAAAGGAAGAAAGATCGGTGTAGCAGAGTGGATGATGGAGAGATGGGGTTTGGCATGTGACACAAAACACAGAGCTGAAAGAAGATGGAAGTGGACGGTATCTAGGTCCTTAAGCATATCTAGGGCACTAGGGTTTGCACATGCCCAGTCCAGGTTAAAACATATTTATGGAAAGTCATGCACCAAAAGAAAAAATTCAGCATAGTTAGGAAACATCAAAAGGTTTGAAAGTAATTGCATTAAGTATTTTTTTTCGCGAAGTGCAGGCATCGTACTTTAATTGATGAATGAGCTACAAGTCTGTTTCACAGCTGCACACAAGAGGGTTTATTTTCATGTTAGAACTTTCCACTTCTAGTGTTGTCTATACTGTTGTTGCCACCAGATGATCTATAAAGAAATTCTGATTCCTTCCTCTGGAACAAATTTATTGCATCATGTGTTTTGTATACACAGTGTTTCTATGAGCATTTTTATATCTGTTGGTGTACTGGAACACCTTCTCTATTTTTTTTTCGTATTCCTTTTTAACACTTTGAACACATTTTCAACAGCCTTTTCGAACAGGTTACTATCCTTTTCATGTTCAAATGATTCATAAAGAAATTACATCTGCTCAAATCTCACATAAGAGGAGAAGAAGACTGAATTTTGTGGGGTTTAAAGAATTAATTACATCGTGTTTTCTTGAGAGCTAATAATTTTTTTTTCCGTTGTTATTCTTGGTCTTCTGCACTGATCTTTCTTCCTCTTTGTAAGTTGATAATCATGTGAGATCCGCTGTATATACTCAACAGGAACTGGGGGATTTAGCAAAAAAAAATTAGTAAATCATGTGTAGGTTCTGAGGCAGAAAAATCCACAAGCTAATGCAGAATTTAAGGTGTGGTTATTAGTTAAATATTTTTTTAAGAATTTTCACTGAAGTCACTACACATTATACTGCCTGTTATGGTCCAGTCTGTTTTTCTGGCCTATCACAGAGAATGTTATGTGTGAAGTACCATTTATCATTGATTTTTAATTCCCATTATAATTGTAAAGTATGTTTTATTCCAGTGGCTGGGAACCATCGTGTTTTTGTGAAGTAATTACTAAGCTCTTAAGAAAGTGTCTGAGACTCTGCTACTCTGCTGAGAAGAAAGAGAATGAGGAAAATTGAGAAGAATCTGTAATCTGAAAGATACCAGGGACACTAGGCTCTATTCTGCATGAGTACTCTGCATAATAACAGGATGAAGCTTGATTAAGTAAAGTAAAGGTTATTTAAGATGCTGTATTGCTAAACTACTTAAGAATATGTGATATTCCATGTTCTCTAAACCTTTGGGGTAACGTCAGATTATATTGCTGTGGTTTAAGCCCAGCAGGTAACTCAGAAACACGCAGCTGCTCCTGGAGGGATGGGGAAGAGAACCAAGAGAAGGTAAGAATAGTCCAGTAACTAAGGTATATGTGAAACCAATACTGCTGCCACTAATAATAATAATAATAATGGAAATAACAAATGGAGAGAATACAATTGCTCACAATCCACTGACTGATACCCAGCCAACCTGAGCAGCAATCTAGGCCTTCCAGGTGACTCTCCCCAGTTTATATACTGGGCATGATGTGCTGTGGTATGGCATACCCCTTTGGCTAGTTTGGGTCAGGTGCCCTGCTTTCTTCCAGCATCCCGTGCCCCTCCTCACTGGGAGAGCATGAGACTGAAAAGTAG